TGCTGCCTGGCCTGCTGTGTTCATCCAGCTCTACATCTTGTTATCTCTGATTCTCCAGCATTGGCAGTTCCTACTATCTCTAAGACAAAATGTTAAATTTCTGAGTATATGTTTTTCTTGCTTAAGGATCAATGTAACCATGTTTTGTAGTACACAAGGAAGTAATATACTCATCTCACAAATAAGAACAGTCCTTGTCAATCTAATGGTTCTAGTAATGAAAGTAAGAAGTTCTACCAACAATTAAACATGTTCCATTTCTACCGATCTATATTAGTGATTCTAATTTCATCATTACCTCAAGTTGATCAGTGAATTTAAATTGCTTATTCAGTTTTTAAAACAGCTCAGTTAAAATAGTTGTTTGGTATACAGCCTTGAATAGTGCTGAAAAACTGAATGCTGTTAATCTTGCACTGAGCAGGCCATTCACAAGAAATAGCAATGGGAAAATGACATTTATACTGTATGAGTAGAGTGTCCTGATTGTTTAGCAAGTGAGCTCTGTTTGATGGAGGTATTTACATTGAGAATGCATCTGTTGTGATGGTGACTGATATTCTTGTGAATTGTCTTGATGAGTTCAAGTTGAAGACCTTTGACAATATGTGTCTTTTCAACAATACTCATAGCAGAGTGCTTTGTAATATATTATTCAGAATAGATAACACGGGAACTATTGTTTAGCACATTTCAAACATTTCATCTGGACTTAGAACTTACATTTTTGTTATGATGATGTTTGAGATAAATTTACATCAGCTACATACTGAAAGTAGATATTCATGGGAATTCCTTGTATTAAAGAAACATTCAATGATAAAGGAGAAGTAAGGGGGATCTTCTGATGCAATACTAGTGTCCCTACTTCTGGCTAGAAAGTCAGGTTCAAGTCCCACCTCAATATGGTAGGCATGGAGTTATATCATAACATTTCTAAACTGGTCGATTAATTTAATTCTACTTTATAATTTTGTAATAGCTAAACATGTATCAGACTGGTGGAGAGTTGAATATTTTAAAGTTAATTTAATTAGAATGACATAATTCAGTTCAAAATAAGATAAAGAAGTGCATCCTTTGTCAGGAAAGTCATAGGATTAGTCATGTGACACAGCTTGACCAGAACAACGTTGGACAGTGACCATCATTGACATGATACAATGCAGCAGTTCAGCAAATCACTTTCAACAAGATCAAACCCATGATCTCTACCACCCAGAAGGTCTGCAAATGCATACTAACATCACTACCTGACAGTTCTTTTCCACATTCCTTACCATCCTGACTTGGAACTGTTTCACCATTTCTTCAACATAGCTAGAGCTCGATCCAGGAACTCCATTCATAACAGCATTCTAAATGTACTTAAACCCCATGGCCAGCAGTGGTTCAAGAAATTAGCTCAATACCATCTTCTCAAAGGCAGTTAAAAATTGGCAATAAATGCTGGCCCACCTCTCAATGGCCACATGACAAGAACAAACCAGGAAAATAAATCCCCAGCCATGTTTTCAGGATAGTTTAAACTGCTTAATATGCCAAACAGATGCCCTGATGATCAGCGGAGATCAGCTAGCTCCAATGAGATACCAGTCAACACTGGTGGCTGGTGGGAGGGTTCCTTGGTTGTATGCATGCACAGGATAAGCATTTGTGTGTGGGTTCAGGAAGCTCATTTCTGTTTGTTCTGATACCAAAAATATAAAAATTAATATGATTTTTGGCTAGTTTCTGAAATGCCTGTTGTGAGCCCTTTTAGCACTGTTGTTATGTCACTCAGAAAATGGGCTGTTATAAACGAGCAGAGCATGAACACTACACATTTATCTAGTTATACCTCAAAATTGCAATCAGTGCACTCTCTATCCCAATAGACTCTGATTTATACGTTAAAATAGATTTTGTATCTGAAATAGGCAGGCACTTTAGCTTCAGAAATAAAGTACTTATCAAAATGGTAACAGTTGAAGGTATTGATTGAGCTTTACAGTATTCCAGCAATTGTAATAAAGACATGTTCTCTACAACTGGTTGTGCCCCTAGACAACCTGTCTAGCACAAATACTGTCACCTACCGAGCAATGTATAAAATTGTCCAGGTATATCCAGTACACAAAAAGCAGAACAAACCCTGCACAGCCAAATAATATCCCATCAGTCTAGTCTCAATCATCAGTAAAGTAATGGAAGGGGTCATTGACAGTGCTTTCAAGCAGCACTCGCTTAGCAATAACCTGCTCACTGATGCTGAGTTTCAGTTCTGCAAGGCCACTTCATTACAGCCTTGGTTCACATATGGTCAAAAGAGCTGAATTACAGAGGTGAGGTGGGAGTATTTGCCCCTGACCAAGTGTGACATTAAGGACATCTACCAAAACTACAGTCAATGGGAATCAGAAAACTCTGCACTGGTTAGATTCAGACCAGTCTCAAAGGAAGATGGTTGTGGTTATTGGAGGCCAGCTGTCTCAGCTCCAGGGCATTTCTACAGGTGTTTTTCAGGGTGGTATCCTAGGCTTTCCATCCGTCATTAGGTCAGAAGTTGAGATGTCCACTGATATTTGCACAATATTCAAGCTTTGGGGAGTCAGGAAGTGAGTTATCACTGCAGGATTTCTAGCCTCTGACATGCTATTGTAGCCACAGTGTTTATATGACTAGTCCAGTTCCATTGCTAGTCAATGATAACCCTCAGGATGTTGATAATTGGACAATCAGCAATGTTACTGCCACTGAAGTCAGAAATCACATGGCGCCAGGTTATAGTCCAACAGGTTTATTTGAAAACACAAGCTTTTGTAGCCTCAGTCCTTTTTCAGGACTAACACCTGTTGGACTTTAACCTGGTGTTGTGGGATTTCTGACTTTGTCCACCCCAGTCCAATGCCAGCACCTCCACGTCATGACTGCCACTGAAGGTTGAGGGATAATTGTTAGTTTCTCTTATTGGAGATGGTCATTGCCTAGCATTAGTGTGGCACAAAGTTATTGCCACTGGTCATGCTAAGCCTAGATATTGTCTAGGTCTTGTTGCTTTTGCACATGGAATACTTCAATATCCAAGGAGTCACAATGACGCTGAATATTTGAACAATTGCTGAAGTAATTCAATGGCTAGAAGAAGCATCATTTAGGAGCATTCTATAAATCACTCAAGGATCTGTTTCCAGTGGAGATATGATTTATTTACCACTTTAATGATTAATAACAAGGCGGAACTTGTCTAAACACACACTGCCTCATATATTTAATATACTGAAGCTGTTCCAATTCCCAAAAATGAATTCTTGTGACAGTTTTACTATTCAGCCTGATTTCAGCAGATCTCCCCACCTGTTTAACAAGGAATCCATTGGCACAGCTTATTCCTTAGCCTAATAGATTCTGTGACTCATATATTTTAACAATATCACTGCATAACTATCTAGTGTTTGAAATCCAATGCTACCATCTTTGTTCTATATGAAAAGAATGTGCAATGCTGCAGGGTATTGCGGAAAGCATGTATTTATTAATGGATTTGCTACTTAGGGAGAAAGCTAGCTTCTCGAACAGGATCGACGTAATACATTTTTTAAAGTGCATTACCTTTTCATAAGAGTTCTATGCTGTATTTTCTACAGAAGTATCTCCAGTTATAAATGAAGATGTGAGGAATCTACTGCTGGACCACATCGTGAAAGATCAGCTGTCCTCCAAATATCTGTACCATGGGCAGAAACTTGACACTCTGAGTGGCAAAAAACTGAGAATCTTTATGTACCGTAATGTATGTGCATTTTTAATTATTTATTTTTCATATACTTTACTGTGTTGAAGAGTAATTGTTGGAAGCACTACTGCTAAGGATTGATATCTAACACATTTGAGCCAGATATTGACTCCAAGATTTGCCTATAAATGCCAGAAACTTTAAGAAACTAGCACTAAAATGTAAGTAAGTTGATTGGCTATGAAGCCAGTTTTGACTGAACAAATAACAGACTCCATTGCAGCATGAAACATCTGATATTTATTAAGATTGACGTTTATATACAGTCTACGTGCCTATACAAAGATTTGTGCACATGAAAATAAATAATTAAACATTAAATAGATGCACATGCAAGATGAAAAATTTAATTCAGCTTTTGCAAGTGAATTTATGTATGAATTATTATGTTTGAAAGTATTAAATATTTTGCAATATTGCAGTCACAAGCATAGCCTGGTCCCACTAAACTGCAAGGCAAATAGCTTTCCAGAGTAAAACATTTTGTTTTAATACATATTGGCATTTGCAGATACCATTTCCAATGCTTGTCAACAAAATTGTGGAATGGAAACCTTTAATATTTTGTTAGTTGTAATTGAAGTACAATCATTTGTTTAAGGTAGAATATTGTTAAAATATGAACTAATGTCAAAGTGTAGAATGTACTTTTCGATTAAGAAATTGATTTCTGATGCGTCAAGTGCTCTCCTCTCTTTAAGGCTTTATGTGTTGAAAACTCATGTGTTGCTGCACATGACAGAAGAGGGAGATATGGTACAATGATGATAATGGACAAAATACTGACTCCTCCAGCTGGTACAATTATGGACATTCTGAAAGCTGATGATCGCTTCAGGTATAGAGCAATTAAATAAAACTGGTTATTTTCCACAGCAGTGAATGTGTATCTGGAGCTTGAGTATCTTCTTTAAAAAGTGGGAAAGCACAATAAGGCTTTTGAGGAATCCTGTACTAATACAAATGCATGTCACACAAACATACTGATCCCTGAGTGGTAGGATCTATCTCATGCTAATCCATATTTCCAAGTAATGTTTTATGGTTATAACGTGGTATTTAAACACACAAAGTGCACTTCTGTTTTAAAACAGTGATCTTTTATTCCACTGGCATCAAATCTTTATGTGAATTCACGGAAAAGGTTAACCAACAGAAAACAAGCCATTTAAAATTGTCGACATGAGACACAACAGGAAACCATCATGAGCTGAATTCCTTGTCTATAATCAGCTAGATAGTAGAGTTCATTGTAGAATATTGGGAGCAGAGATGCCTTGCTTCCAGCAGAAGAAGTGGTTAGTCTGTGGCACTCCAATATTAATTCTCTTCAACTGAGAATATTTTGCCATCCACGCCACAAAATGTACCATCATCACCTTGTTTTCCCAAATGATTTTCCTGATTGGTCTCAAGCATGTGAGTGCTTGTTTCATTTGTGCTCACCCACAGAGATTTTGGCTACTCTGTTATGGATCTTGCTCCTATAATGCTGCAGCCCACCCTTCAACAGTTCAAACTTCTCTGCCTACTCTCCCTCTCTTCATGGTCTCTGTCTTCACCCCTACCCCTAGAATCCCATGCCAAAGACCCTGCAGTGGAAGAGAATACAGGGGTTGATGGGTTCTTCTGCATGACGCTCTTCCTCACCCTCACCACCCTCTGGCAAAGGCCTCGCTACACTAATGAGCCACATGAATGACATGGAAAATCAAGGAGTGAGCCATTCCAATAATCATTCTGGATCTTGGTCAATTGCAGAATGACAATAATGGAGATTTAGCAATAGATAAGTTGCACAATCTCTCAGTACCGTATAGCATAGAATAACAGATGGCACAGAGGAAGGAGTCTCTTGTGGTGCGGAGAGAGTATCCATACCTCTGGGCAGGAGACCAGTGTTCAATTCCTGAGATGTGTAAAATCATGTGTGAATATGTTGATTAGAAAATATGTACAGTATAGAGAAACAGAGGAGACAACACAGAAAGAGAAAGAATCTTAACAAAATAAAGAGTGCATTTTATGTTGCTGATTCCACTAGTGAATGCAATAACCATTAAGAAAATGAATCTGTCAGTTAGAATATTTTGCCTAATTAGTTTTTTTTTAATTTTTGCAGTATGTTTGTCGGAGCCATCCAGACAGCAGGACTGACTGAAAATCTCAACAGACCCGGTGCATTTACAATCTTTGCACCTACTAATGACGCTATCCTGGCTCTACCTGGCAGGGAACGGAACAGAATTATTGGTAAAATCTACAACATCTCATCTCGCTTTGAAAGTGAAATATTGGGTAGACTCATTAACTCTGTTTAGGAGACGTTGTGGTGTTGATGGTTAGTTAGCTTATCTCTTCACAGCAACAGAAATGTGCAAACCAATTAACTTACAAATTGTCTGAAGTAGATGAATTAGCACTTTTCCCCAGTAAATTCATCACCAGATTTACCACCGTGAGCACACGTAGCCTTAACGTTTATCATTTTCTTTCCAACTAAACTTCTTCCTAAATAACGCACAATCATTTCTGAACAACAGGGAATAATTTGTGGAGAAAACTTTGTGTCCACATTTTGGAAATTGACAATGCACTGAAGATTAACCAGTAATGGACCCTTTGTTGGGCAGGTTTGCAGCTACCTGCTGCTTCTTAGTTTAGAGGTCTTGAATAATGATTCTGTTTTAAACAATATACAGTGTCACAGCCTGTTAACTTAAACATATGAAACTATACAAGACTCTGTGTACTTTAGGTGTGCGATTATTTTCTGCTGTGCTGACAAAGGTAAGCTCGAATGACCCTGTGCCTCACCAGTTACATGGATCTACATGATTTGGAAGGCTGAACATTAATGCACTTAAAAATTCATGCTTGGACCATCTTTCGCACTGAATGTATCTTGATAGTCAGCATCCTTCCCGAGTCAGTTTGACAGTGACCAAGAAACTTAGCCACAGATTGTATGAATTTGAGGGATATTAATTTTTTTCAGATAAATTTCAGACTTTTGACTGTTTGTCCTCGATTCTCTAATTCACTATTGTGCTGTATGTCCCCTTGTAGCTTAATGCATGAAAAAAAAATGGGTTGAAAAGTGTCAAGCAACATTCACATCATACAAGTGGCAGGCAATAATTTTTACAATAAGCCTAATCACCTTTCTGTTATAGTTAATGGTATTACACTTAGATTAACTTCCTGTGTTTGGGTAATTTGCTGGAAGTGAAGTTCAGAATCACAGTGAGGAACATGAGAAGGGAATTAGTTTAACCCCAGTCTTCACTAAGATAGGATCTGTGGAAGTTCCACTGATAAAGATCACAGCTTGTGGAATACATGGAGGATGGTGACAAACTTCTGAGGACAAACAATTTGAAGAGTATTCTCCATAAGCTTTCACAGTTGACAGAATCAAAAGCTTTCACTTATCACTCAAAGCCAACTCTGAAGGGCAGGACATGCAGTCATAGGGTGATACTGATTCTCAAAGCAACCTTTCTAGTCAGAAGTCAATCATGCAGGAGCTGTTAAGAAGGATAGAAGATATGCTTATGGTGCGTGCTCAAACCTTCCCACCAACTCATGGATTGTGATGAATGAAATTGGAGAAAGTTATTTTGGGAAGCCTTTATACATTAAGAAGCTTCGTTGAGATCATGCAGAGATAAATTTGAGGCCTCAGAGAGTATCTATAGGCCTACAAACACCTCATCCACACAATTGTTCATGTACCAGCTGTGTGCAGATTACACATGAGAACTTAGCAACCATCTCAGAACTTCTTGAACCAGAGTGGAAACAAGTTATCCTCAATCTCAACAGACTGCCCTAGAAGAAGTAGGTGTTATCATTCTGATTGTCACACCAACAGTTCAGTTGTAAAGACCACATAAATGCTGAAGTTATTACATCAGGTCAGAGACAGGTGAGTGTACTCTTAACACCACAAACCTTTGCAATATCATGAGGTAAAAGGTCAGAAATGAGCTGGAATACTGTCTTCCTCTGTGGATTGGTGTAGCTTCAACATTTAAGAAGCTCCAACGTATCAAAGGCAACATAATCCACTCGATTAGCACTTCACCTTATTGCAGTCACAATAGGCTGGCTACAGAAATTATATCAGCCAAAGCTTTTCTGACAATATTTCCATACTCATGCCCTCCACCCCACCAGAAGGGCATGCATGGAAATACCATCACATCTAAATCATGCACTCTAATGATTTCACTCAGTATCACTCAGTCAAAATTGTGGAAGTCTTTACTGAGTAGCAATTCAGTTTAAGAAGAGGGCCAACCTCCCTGTGTGCAATAAATCTAATGCTTGCAATTAATGCCCACATTGTAAGAATGATTTAAAAATAAACTGACAGCAAAAGGCAGAATTTTACTTTTCGGAAGTGCTTATTCTAATAGAAGCTGCTAGAGTACAGCCAGGCACTGTAGAAGATACCAGAATAGATTAACAGAAGAATGTCTCTTCCCCCTTTCAACATAATGTAAATTGATTTTGCATCAGCCAACAGCATTCAACAGTGGCGATGAAATAGACCAGATTTTCTTCCATTAACTGCACAATATGCAACTTATAAACATATAATCTACATTCGTAACAAGGGGATTTACACTGGATGATTGTCAGCTTTAATCAATCAGACATATACATCTTTTTAAAAGCGTGAACATAGATGAACTGTCACTTCTGAATTTGAAATAACAATTCTTCTCAACAGACACCAAACTAATTAAAATAAGCATTTCATGGTTGATCAAATCCAATTTTTAATTCCTTGGATTAAATTTGATTTTCCTTCACTTCTCTTTTTCCATCAGGTGACCCAAGTTTGCTGAAGTACCATATCGCTGAACAAATCTTGGTTAGTGGTGGTGCTGCCAGTCAGATGGTACGATTGAAAAGCTTGCATGGCGCTAAGCTGGAAGTGGGAACAGTAAGTTTTTTTTATTCACCCATGGGTTGAGGGCATCACTAGCTGGGTCAGCATTTATTTAGTGTAAAGTGCTCAGCTTCTTTTGATTTCCATGCTCTCATTACTTTACCTTGGTTGATACTCTGAATAAACAGAATTATCATGTGATCTCTTTCAGATAAAAGATGTTCTCAACGTAAACAAAATTTCAGTTATAGATTCTGACCTGATGGCAACAAATGGGGTGATCCATGCTATTGATACTGTTTTGCAGCCCTTTGGTAAGGAGCAGTTTGCAAATGGACAAAAATTTGCAACACATCATGTTATGTAATGAAAGAACTGTGTATAGTACAAATGCAGTGATACATATTGCAGGTTAAGCTGGACAAATAAAAAATTTGAAAAAAAACCTAAAAAACCTTTCTTATTACGTTTTGTTTTAATTCTGTCTGATTTATAGCATTTTCCAGGTAAGAGAATTGAAAAATACATGCGCTTCCAGACATATCTTAATAATAATTTTCAACTGAAGCAAACCGAAGTATGAAGTATTTTATTGGTTGAAGTAAAAAAAAACATGTTAGAAATAATCAACAGGTCAGGCAGCATTTGGAAAGGAGAAACAACATTAACATTTCAGGTCACTGATCTTTCAGCTTCCACATGTAAGCATGGTGGTTGCAAGATTACAATTGGCACAACGTTTCTGATCATCTTATTAAAGTAAAACGAAAGGACAAATTTCAAGCTAGTGGATACAAGTGTGTGGATTTGACTGAAACTACTGATATGTGATTATTTTAGACATAATTAATTGAAAAGCTAGAGTTGACTTGCCAGATTTGATTCACACAATTCATTGTTGTACACATAATGGTGCTCTTAACAGAAGACTTTGTTTCATTCATAAGCTACAAGACAGCCAGAAAGCCGTAATGGCATGGAGATCAGCAGTGAAGATATTCTTCGCTTTGGAGTCAGCCCAGCTAAGGTCTGATTCAGTTAAAATTGTCTACAGACTAAAATATGAAATAATTGTGATTTTAAAAACGTCAATGTTTTGTGGTTTTGTACTACCTCTGGATCCTATTTGGATGCCGCTTCATTATAATGGTAGCTCTAACTGTTTACAGAATGGAATTTTTTGTTGACATACAAGGTTAATTACCCAAATAAATTGCCTGTTTACATAAGGAAATGAGCACTTAAATGAAAAATTGTTTTTGTAGGGAATTTGTTGAAGGGATTCCAATGTTGTGAATGTCTGTATATATTAGGAAGGTTTCTTCTCCATAACAGTGACTATCGTTTTACTCTGCTAGGTTTCTATAAAGCTTACACTATAGTACAAACTATATTGTGAGGCAAAACATCCATCTCTGGTACAGACTATTCCCCTCTCTTCACAGACTCTGGCAAATTATGTTTCTGTTACAAAGTGACCTTTGTGTCCTTGTTGATAAGGCACTGAAAGCTAACATGTAGGTGCAGCAATCTTATTTAGACTGCAACTGGAGTACTGTGTTTAGTTTAAAGATGTTATTGACATATAGGGAATGCAACAAAGATTACTAGACTTGTCCTGAGGATGGTGGGATTGCCCTGTGAGAAGAGATTGGGGCAAACAGGGCCTGTATTCTCTAGAGTTTCAAAGAATCAGATCTTATTGAAAGTTAAAAATTCTTAAAGAGATAGAAAGGGTAGGTGCAGATAAGATGTTTCCCCTGGTTGGAGTGTCTGGTACGGGTGCGGGAGGGAGTACGAAACAATTCATAAATAAAGGGAATGCTACTTTAGGTTTGAAATGACTGAAATTTTACTCAGAACGTTGTACACCTTTGGGATTATCTACCACAGAGGCAGGGGGGCTTAATCTTTGAGTATGTTGAAGGTAGAGATTGATAGATTTTCAAATACCAATAGTGTACAGGGTTAATGGGGTTGAGTGCACAAAAGACATTGAAGTGTTCAATCAGCCACTATTGTGTTGTATGATGAAGCAGGCTGAATTTTGTTTCTATTTTACTACAATCATAAATATCACTATCTTAATTGCTTGACATAGATGTCCCGGATTTTCTGATTGTTGCATTATACGCTGAAAGATATGATAATGGAACATCTAAACTGGAGTCAGCAAGTTTTTTTTATTATTCAAGCAATGGGTATTTCGCTGGCTAGGCCAGCAGTTATTTTACATCCGTAAGTGCCCTTCAAAAAATGGTGGTGAGCCACCATCTTCAATTGCTACAGTTACTGGGTGTAGGTACACTCCACACTGCTGGTAGGAAGGGAGTTTCTCAATGGGCCACTTAATGGGCTCAAGTGGTAGCAAGGTAGGAAGATCAACCATGGCCCTTCCTGCCTTAACCATGGCCCTTCCTGCCTTAACTATGGTCCTTCCTGCCTTTAAGCTTATCACCTCTGGGAACAGCTCATTCCACCCAACATTTCAGGACAATGAGCTTCCAGCAGAATGTCATCTCATTAGTTCTGATGAAAAACATGTAAGAACAGTCTCAACCACTACAACAACTTACATTTAAATAGCATGCGTAACACCCGCCCCCCTTTTTCCCTTCACCCTTCTTATAAACTCACCTATTATCAATCTTTCTCAATAGACGCAGTGATAGAAAATAAATTGTGTCTACTGATGTTGCTACTATTGAAAGGAAAAACTCATTGGGATAAAACCATTCAATACATTGGAATCCCTGCAACAAATTACTTACAAAAAATAATTTTTCATTTAAGTGCTCAATTTCTCACGTAAATAGGCAACTTATTTAGGTAATTAATCCTGTATGTCAACAAACATTTCCATTCCGTAAGCAGTTGGAGCTACCCATTATAACGCTCACTTGAAAGGCACATGACTGTGAAAATGACAGCTTGGAAAATCAGTCATGCAGCACAAATCTCATCATGGCTGAGCAAAGTGATGGAAGGTACCATCAACAGTGCTAGCAAGCAGCACTTGCTCAGCAATGACTTTCTAAATGCTGCTCAGTTTGGGCTTTTCCAGGGATGCTTAGTTCCTGATTGTATTACAACCTTGATCCCAATAAAGACAAAGGAGCTGAAATCCAGAAGAGAGGTGAGATTGACTGCCCTTGAAATCAAAACAGCATTTGACTAAGTGTGGCATTAAGGAGCCCTAGCAAAACTGAAGTCAATGAGAATCAAGGATAAACTCTCCACTGTTTGTAGAAAAACATGCGCAACATCCAGGCTGGGTTTGATAATTCACGCCACACAAGTACCAAGAAATGATCATCTCCAACAAGACAGAATCTAATTATTTCCTCTTGACATTTAATGCCATTACCACTGCTAAATTCTCCACCATCAATATCCTGAGCATTATCATGGACCAAAAACTGAACTGATCCAGCCATGTAAATACTATGGCTACAATACCAGATCAGAAGCTAGGAATTCTGCAGCAAGTAAGTCACCATGGGATTCCCCAGTGCTTCTCCACCAAGTCGCAAGTGGGATGACATTCTCTGTACTTGCCTGGATGGAAATCACTGAAACAACACTAAAAGTTCAACATCATCAATGAGAAAGCAGCCCTCTTGATTGACAGCTTACATACCACCTTTAATATTCACTCCCTCCACCACTGATGTATGGTGTCAGCAATGAGTGCCATTTACAAGATGCACTGCCGTAACTCACAAAGACCCATTAGACAGCATCTTCCAAACCTGTGACCTCTTATCCTCTAGAAGGCTAAGAGGGGTGGATGTATACAAACTCTACCACCTCCAAGTTCTCTTCCAAGATACACACAAGCCTGACGTGGAATTATATTGTTATTCCTTCTCGCTGTCACTGGGTCAATTTCCTGGAACTCAATTCCTAACATCGCTGTAAGTTTGTAGACAGCCCCAAATTCAAGAAGCAGCTCACTATTATCTTCTCTGGGGCAATTAGGGATGCATACTATATATTGACCTAGTCAGTAATGCCTACATCCTATGAATAAATAAAAACAATTAGCTTATGTGCTTTTTACACTCAAGCACACCTACTTTCCACAAAAACAACCTTACCTCCTTATCTCCATCAAAGAGCAGCTTACCTCTGCAGAATTGTCTTAGGACCAGATCCGAAGGGGTATCTTAATTCTCCAAAAGGTTCACAGAGTTATCCAAAAGAAATGGGCTGAGAACTGACCTGTTCTTACCTGGTCCAATCTCTGCGTTCCAGACACCAAGGATTCCACAATCTTATTTATATGGAAGCAGCTGAGGATTTTAGTGGCCAACTGCTTGTGACAACCAGGTGTGCATGAGCTATACACTGTCCCTACAAAAGTGAGACATACCAGGGTCAGAGCTGAAGATTCTCTGTTTAGGTGAATGTCAGGGCCTAAGCGTTTAACTGGACTCAAAAGCATCAAAGGCAGAAGTGAACAAATGGGTAAACAGTTGTATACATATTGTGGCAGATGGAGAAATAAAGGCAAACTAATTATGGATGGGAAAGTTCAATTATAAGTGACTTACGGGAGAGTAGCTTTGAAGGGAGTAGCAGTTGTAAGTGAAGAGTGATGCAAGAAGGTGAACAGAGGTGCTCTTGTCTGTGATTGATGCTATGAAAAGAGTGATGCCCCAGGCTAAAGCGGCTGTCTGTGAATAGCTGTGGAAAAGTTGAAATGGGGGAAGGGATGAAGAGAACAGAAAAGCAGTGAAATTGACATGAAAAGGAGTGAATCACTGAGAATGAGAAGTTACTCCATATATGAAGAGGCTGATAGAATAGGATATTTTGGTGAGAAACTCTGTACATCACAGGGAAGCTTCAATGTCTATTAACAAGTCACAGTAGCTTGTCAAGATTCGCTGGAAATCAATATGCAGACTTATTCAGGTTCTTTCATATGATCCAATTCTGATGTATAACAAAATGAATTTCTTGTTTCTTAATGGGCATGTGATGACTCAGTGGTATTATTGCTAGACTATTAATCCAGGAATCCAGGGAATGTTCTGGTACCCATGTTTGAATTCAGCCATAGCAAAAGGTGGAATTTGAATTCAGTAATAACCTGGAAATAAGAGTCTAATGATGCCCATGAAACCATTGCTAATTGTCAGGAAAAACCCATTTGGTTCGCTGATCCCCTTTTAGGGAAGGAAACTGCCATCTTTACCTGATGTGGCCTACATATGACTCCAGACCCACAGCAATATTGTTGACTCTTAACTGCCCTCAGGGGCAATTAGGGATGAGCAATATGAGCTAGAGATGCCCACATCACATGAGTGAGTAAAAATAAAACTACAGATTAAAAAACTCTAACGTCTTTTTTTGCCTTATAGATTCCAAGTCCTAGGCTACGAAAAGGTATGCACCACATCTTGACATATTTATCCTAGATTAACTTTTGCAATGGTAATAAATTTCACTGAACAATGTGGTGATTCATTATTCAATGTGTTATCAGTGAAATAATACTGTTCCATTTGAAATTTCAGTTACCAGAGATGCCAATCTGCAAAAAAGCAAGTAATGTGAAAAGCAGCCAGCTGATCACTGCAAGAACTTTTTCAGGAACTCTGAATTCTGTGACTCAGATTTTTTTTTCACTTGAATGTTCATATCCCATAGCATGTCATTTCTTCATTATGATGTCATATTATTTGCTTGTTTGTACATTTTTCAGATTGGATTTGAAATTGAAGTGCTACTTTTTTTTTAACAGAACACTCAAGATTGCATTTTGCATTCTTATTAATGGGGTGCAAGGTATGGAGTCTGGGTTGAAGCAACAACCAGTCTACCAGAGCAGTTTGCAGATTTGAAATGCAGAACACGTGTGGATATATTTGTATGTATGTTAGTGCTTGTATGCGTCAGTAAATGTATGCCTGTGCACGAGCGTATAGATGTGTTTTTGTGCACATCTGAATTGTGTGTTCGTTTGCATGTGTGCTTGTGTGATATTGTATATTTGTAGTTAAGTCACTGCAAGCCTATGCATGTACCATTCAACAGACTTCTTCTATGGAGTTGTCTTAATTTCTGGTTTACTTGTTATGAATATAACCCACCATTTACCCAAAAAGGGATATTAACTGTAATACCACATATTTTTGTTTCCATTTAATTTTTAGTTTTGTTTGCTTCAATTATTCACGTGCTAGTTTGTGTTGATGAACCCGAATGTTTCATGTCGGTGTTAAAGTATTTGCATGTCACAAGTTGCAATCTGCGTTTGTGCTATTTTGCTTAAACTTTGGTAAGGGATATTTTATATACGTATATATATTTCCAATTAGGTTGGAAATCCTTTTTTAATAATATATTTATCTTCAAAATTTGTCCTGTGATACTTTCATAAAAAATCATTTCTCTAAAGCAATTTGCAGCTACAATAAAATGTTCATTTTTTAAAAGTCTCTTTATTTTTTCTTAATTAAAGGGAGCAGAGTCATCATCATCTTGATACCACCATTGTTAAATTGGTTAACTTCTCAAACAAACCTTTAACAATGCCCATTATATTGTTCCTGTTTTGGATGTTAAAATGACCAGGTATACCTCCTAGGTGCATTTCTGCTTATGCTTGAAATGCTTTGAATTCTTTGTTTTAGGATCCAGAGCAACCCCAGCATAACTGAAAATAACTCTGCCTATACAACAATCCCTCTTTCAAATCAGCTACAATTATACTAGTGCACTAGTGTCACACTGATATCTATTCTGCAAGGTTTCCAATCCACAGCCACATTGAAAGATTTCAAAAACACTCCCAAGTTGAAGAGAAGGCACACTATAATTTTAAGTAAAGCCCTCATTAAGTCTTTGGAGTCAATCATTTTTGGATTCACTCCTCAGTTTGAATTTTGTTGATGAGCTGCTAGGTTTAAGCCATATGCCCCATCAAAACTCTTTAATCGTGGGAAGGTGGTAAAATGGACAACTCCAATACTGACAAGATGGCAGATCAAGCTTGTAGAGGGCCAGGTCAATTCTAGATGCTCCACGTACTTGCTTAAACATGAAACTTAAACTTGTTTAAATAGGTTGGTGTGTTTCTCATCCATTCTTCAGTTAGTTTGAAAATTGGATCAGGGACATGTTAGGCAATTGACTTGCAAATAGCAGTTGTTTGTTTTTTATCATCTTAGTCCAAGTAAGCAGTGAGTAAGTCATTGTAGTCTTCCAAGAAGTCAAGCTAACTGTCATGACATTAGAACATGAAGCAAATTAGCAGTGAAGCAATAGTAATCTTTTCCCAAGACAAGACAAAAAATGGTCCAGCTGCCAGAAATTTTCACTTCTGGGGAGAGAAATAGAACTAGTGGGCAGAATTTTACAATCTGCTACTGGCAGGTTTGCAGACAAAAGAATAGCCTGTAAAATTCTATAGATGACCTCCAACACCCTGCCACCCAGCTATGACCTGACTGCAATTTTATGGAAGGCCAGTGAGGTGTAGGGAGGCCCTCTCGCCCTCCCACCCCACCCCCCCCCAACTTAGGCCTATAATTGGCCACTTAAGGACCACGTTCCATCAGGCCTCAATTTTGAGGAATAAATTCAATTATAAGAGGTCACCTCTCTCAGGTCTTGTGGGAAAAGGGGACCTGGGCATTCCTCAAGGGTCCCTTTCCAGTTTGGTCTCCATCCCTAACCCCTTGAACATCTCCACAGCTTCTCTATCATGAGTTTCACCTTCCCAACTCTCCCAATTGCCGTTCCATGCCCTGATATCCCTACATCTTGCCTGCTCCTGAGTCTGGGACTTAGTATCTGTTTCAGGTGAAGGCTTTTCCTCAGAATATTTATACCCTGCCTGGGTTTTTTGGGGGGGAAACCTCTTCAGCTTTTCCTGGGTCCCCTGCAAAACTGTAGATTGCTCTTTCCTTTTCAGAGTACCCTCGTGGCTTTTCAGAGATAGAATTTCAGCATCAGTATTAGAACACTTTCTATTCATTGAGGGTAAGCAGAAAAGTCGCTAGCTCTCCTCAAAACTCAAATTTTCATCAATTATTATAAACGTCACCAGCCAAATCCTAGTCTACTTTCCAAACTTTGACTTACTATCTTCACCACTTTTGCCAATGGCCCACTTGAAATGTTGATATTTTTAGGCAATGTCATAAAGCAATTACATATAGGATGAATGTTACCATTGAATCTGCATAATGTAGATTTAAGACATACATTTTTTTATTATTAACTTAACGTGCCTCTGATTATTTGATTTGCACATCATATTGATGTGAAAATGATTGTGAATTGCTGCATATTATTAGCTAGCCATTTCACCTACGTTAATTCAAAAAACTGATTCTAACAGCAATGCTTTTTATAAATTTGTAGCTTAGAACAAAAATACTGCACCCAAAAAGGAGAAGTAGCCAAGATACATTTGCATGTCATTTGCAATACGTCATTTTATTTGTTTGTAATATCTTTTTGAGTCTACAATAATGTAGACAGTTGTAATAGTGAGGAGTTTCAACCAAATCAGATGCTGGAAAAGTAGATTCTAAGACGGTCTGAAATCCAACCTGAAAATTATATTGACATTAATGCATGGAATAGAAGTTTGAAAGAGTGCAAACTTTGGTGATCTGTTTGTTCTGAGAGTTGACAAGATTAAACAAGTCTGAATTGCCAAAGATGGGGATAAACATAGACAGGGGAAAGAATGTCAGTCTGCTATGACTACATCATCAGTTGGCTACCAGTTTTGTGGTGAATCATGTCTCACTGGGACTGGTTTACAAACCCTTCTAATGCTCACCAAAGACCTAGCCAACTTTACATATCTTTTCTGACATTTTTTTGGAGGGATTTTGCTGAGAATTACAAGGAGCAGCAAAAGACAACGTCTTGTCAAGCGTCCATGGAAATTCAGCAATAGTGCGGACTGCTATGTCTCCAAATGCACCCCATCCCAAACTATTCTTTAATATGTATTTTATTTAGACATTCTGCTAAAAGCTTTCCTCCTCAGGTGAACATATGAAACTATAATGAACAGAAGAATTCAATGGTTGTTAATGTGAAATCTTTATTGTGTACTGGATCTGGGGTGAGATTTATTTGATCCCAATACAAGGGCAAAACATTTATTTGCATGTTTTATGGGTACAAGGGTCATGATTTGTGACCTTCCCTTGCTGCTTTTGTTGATCGCGGTAGAACAGAGTCTTGATACTCCCATTCATTCCATGACTGTAGCGTGGGACCGAGCAGACAAAGGAATTTCCTTGGAAATTTAATTTTCTGCTGGAAAATCCTCTATGCCTGGAATCCTTTGAACATAAGTCAGAGACTTCAGAGTGTTCTGGTGGAATTAAGAAAAATAGTTACACAGGAAAAGTTAAACTTACAAATAAAGGATTCTGGGTAACCTAAGATGGAGGACAGGAAAAATTTGTGGCTGTAAGAGCTGCTTCTTTGTTGAGGTATTTTCAGTGTTGGAGCTGATTTCCTTGAATTTTAAGAGCAGTAATTACTGTTTTATAAGCAGTTGCATTATTTTGGAACTTTGGGGCAAAAAGATCAAAACAACGGCACTTTAAAAATGAGGAAGCGAGCCAAAGGCAGAGATCACATAGGAAGTTGATCAAATGGAGAAAGAAACCTACTCAGCTGTCTGACCCAAGAGTGAATCTGCACAGCTATTGTCTCTGCTGTTTAGTTTCAAGTATCTCTGGACATTGGAGTTGGTTCCAAGAAAAATAAACAAACAGTGAAATTCACAGCTGACCTTGGAGAAACCTATGTGGGAGAGCTCACAGCAGGGGATCAACCAAGTGGCTAGTTTCAAAGTGTAACCTTAATTTTTTTTTGTAAATCCACAGTAGTGAGTAGAATGGGTTGTTTTTTGATTTATTTTTCTTGAGATCTGACTCTTTATTAAACTTTAAAAATACAAAAAGATAGGTAATAAGCTAGCTTGGAGCAGTGTTTTTAGAGCAGTAAGACTGTGCTGTTTTCTGGGTCTGTAGATTGTTAAGGTGCAAAGATAGCCTTTAGTAGAGTGATGTGCTCTTCCTGAGCGATGTGGGAGATTAGGGAGAGTTTCCATGTTACTGATGATTATGTCTGCAGAAAGTGTGTTTGGTTATGAATCCTGTCGGATCACATAGATGAGTTGGAGCAGTAGTTAGAGGCAATGAGGAATTTACACGAGCTGGGAGGTGTGATGGATGATAGATGCAGGGAGAGAGATAAACTGAAGATATAGTCAAGTAGATAAGTGACCTCCAGGAAAGGTAGGAGAGGCAGGCAGGTAATGCAGGAGTCTCCTGTGGCTATCCCCATCTCAAACAAGTATGGTGTGTTGGATAATGTACGGGATGATGGACTCTCAGGGGAATGTAGCACTGACAGCCAGGTTTCTGGTACTGAGCCTGGCTCTAATGTAACAAGGAGTACGTCAGATTCCAAGCGATCGATTGTGATGGGGGACTCTCTAATCAGAAGCACAGATAGACATTTCTGTGGCTGAAAGCAATATGTCAGAATGGTGAATTGCCTTCCTGGAGCCAGGATCAAGGATATTTCGGAGATGGTGCAGAATATTCTCAAAGGGGAGAGGGACCAGCAGGAGATCGTTGTACACATTGGAATTAATGACATAGCAAAAGAAAAGGGATTTTGAGGAGAGAATATAGGAAGTCAGGCAGGAATTTAACAACTAGGTCCTTGAGGGTAGAAATATCTGGATTACTCCCAGTGACATGAGCTAGTGAGGGTAGGAATAGGAAGATAGAGCAGATGAGGGCATGGCTGACGAGCTGGTGCAGGGGAAAAGGATTCACATTTTTGGATCATTGGATTCTCTTCTTAGATACAAGTGACCTGTATAAAGGATGGACTGGGCCTGAACTGGAAGGGGACTAATATATGGGAGGGGAGATTTGCTGGAGCTGCTCAGGAGGATTTAAACCAGCAAGGGGCGGGGTGGGGGTGGGGGAGGTGCACATCAGGGAGGGTGTGAGGAATGACATCAGTCTGAGACTGGTGCTGTTAGGAAACGGAGCAAATCAAACAGCTAGGGCAGGCAGGAACAAAGCAGAGAACAAGGTCGAACTGATAAGTTAAACTGCATTTATTTCAATGCAAGAGGCCTAACAGGTAAGGCAGATGAACTCAGGGCATAGTTGGGAACATGGGACTGCGATATCATAACAATTACAGAGACATGGCTCAGGGATGGACAGGACTTACAGCTTAATGTCCCAGGGTATAGATACTATAGGAAGGATAGAAAGGGGGACAAGAGAGGAGTAGGAGTGGCGTTTTTGATGAGGGATAACATTAATGCTGTACTCAGGGAGGATACTCTTGGTAATGCATCCCAGGACATTATTTTGGTGAAACTGAGAAATAAGAAAGGGATGATCACCTTATTGTGATTGTACTCTAGATC